GCAAATCACTGCCATCTCCTCTCTTCAACGGCTGCTTCCGCAGTCCAAACAGCCACCACCCTCTACTCACACTCCTGTAGTCATGTCCATCAGCTTAGTGTGTTTACTTATTTTTCTTGATGCTTTTTATTTCATCAACAAGGATGGTCTGCTGGGCAAGTGCTATACGACTTAGCTACATAGTTATTTAAAGATACTTATCACATCTTATTACCAGTTACACTTGTGTTGGTCTCCCACCCACTCTTTAAATCTGTTTTTCTCCCCTAGTGTGTCTGCACCTTAGAGAAATATCCTAACGTGGTTCTAACACTAAATCCCAAGCTTCTCTCAGGCTAGTTTTTCCATTCACATCCTGTGCAAGTGTCCCTCTGCTATCCTGGCTTCGGTCACCCTGCCCTTCTTTCACCACATGGAAAGTATCATGCCTTGCTCACCTCTTGCCCTCTGAGTGTGCTGCTTCCTCCCTGTGCAGGCTTTCTGTTCATTCTGCTCATCTAGCTCTTTCCAAACTTGTATTTTCAGCTTAATATCACTTCTTCATTGAGGCTGCCCCCAGGTATCAGCCTACTTTCATTTGTCTCTCCTAACATCTTTCTTAGCACTTTTTACAATTTGTAATTCTATAGTTCTACTTGTTAATGCTTGTTTGGTGACCGACTTCTATATTAGAATGGAAATTCCTTGAGGACAGTGTGTGATTTTTGTATTTCAATGAATTATCAGCCTATGTCTAATGCATATGATAGTATATGGCACAGAGTAGTTGTCTAATAAATATTGTTAAATAAATCAGTGAGAAGAACATAGTAAAAAAGGAAAAAAGGGAGAGAAGGAGGAAGGGAAACAAATAGAACAGTGAAGGAAAGAAGGAAAAGAAAAGAAAAAAGAAGAGACATTTTCCATGATGCTGTTTCATATACCCTCTATGGAAATGAACAGGGGCAGGTGTTTTAAGCAAACTTAAAATTCATGAAAACCTAAATTTACATAATGAAAATGTTGAAAGGTGATTTTTCCACTTTACAAAAAGATCCATCATAAGATTCTTTAAACAGGCTATCCAGGTACATGTAAAATAAGATTCTATTGATTGAAACCATATGTGTGCACAGAATTTTTCAGGAAAGTATCTTTTATATAAAGCAAGGTTGACCTATAAGCAATTTCCTTAAGGCACCCAGCCCAGAATGATCAACGCTCAAATTTCTAAAGCAATAGATAACAGGAGGCCTGGAACTCAGGGACTATCTGAAATCGTAGAAAGTGAAGCAGTGATTTTAGCCAGTCAGGATCCTAATGACTTTTTTTTCATGAAAGTAGTTCAAGAAGAGATGAACTTCCCCAATTCTCCAGTTGGTCTCTCCACAAAGTAAGGATAGCTACAGCATGGACTCCGAAATGGCTGATATGGAATGGAGAGAAAAGTTAGAAGTTAGCAAGTCAGTGCTTTGTTCCTGATATCTTTGCCTCTGCCCCAGTTTTTACAGTTAGTCATTAAGTCATTGCTTTCAAAACTGAAAATAATTCAGTGTGTTGATAAATAAAATTAATTTAACTTCTCTGGGTCTCTATTTTCTTATTAAACAATGTAGGAATCATTTTTTTTTTTTTTTGGTAGGTCATGGGGCTTGAACTAGGGACCTGGTCTCTGTCCCTAAGCTCTTTTGCTCAAGGGTAGTATTCTACCACTTTGAGCTACAGTGCCCCTTCTAGTTCTCTGGTGGTTAATTGGAGATAAGAGTCTCACAGACCTTCCTGCCTGGGCTGGCTTGGTATAGCAATGGTCACATCTTAGCCTCTTGAGTAGCTAGGATTACAGACATGAACCAGCAGCACCTAGCATGGGAATCCTTTTTAAGATTGTTTCTTCATAATGGTAGGCTTACACCTTCCCCAACTTTATAAAATAAGCATTCTGTATGTCTAATACAATAAAATTCACAGCTATTTCTGCTCTGGAAAAATTAATATAAGATTGGGGGCAGAGAGCGGGGGGAGATGGGAGGACAGGGATGGGAAGGGGAAACAAAGGAGGAGACAACAATGCTTGATAAGAAATGTACTCATTACCTTACTCGTGTAATTGTAACCCCTCTCTACAGTATTTTCACAATAAAAAATCTTATTAAAAAAACAAAAAATTATGAATTTTCTATCAAAACACTTATAATATTTGTCAAGTTTGCTGACTTATTGACAACTCTTCATGAATAGAAAAAATGTCATACAATTTAAAACTATCATTTTTCGCCGGGCGCTGGTGGCTCACGCCTGTAATCCTAGCTACTCAGGAGGCTGAGATCTGAGGATCACGGTTCAAAGCCAGCCCGGGCAGGAGAGACCGTGAGACTCCTATCTCCAATAAACCACCAGAAAACCGGAAGTGGCGCTGTAGCTCAAGTGGTAGAGCGCTTGCCTTGAGCTGAAGAGCTGAGGGACAGCGCCCAGGCCCAGAGTTCAAGCCCCACGACCGACAAAAAAAAAAAAAAAAAACTATCATTTTTCTTTATTAAACATAGTTCATTATTGTGGAAACATAGTAAGCTATTCTTGAACTGCTGTACAAGAAAAATATTTTAGATGCCAGAAGGAAAAATTATGTATGGGGCATGACAATAAAAATCATGGTAGACTATGAGTAGGTTAATTTTACCCTTCAAAAAAAATCAGCTACTTTTATTCCAGAAAATTCAAATATAGAAGAAAATGTATGGGACATTGAGAACAAAAGTAAACCTAATTATCTACAGCTTTGAAGACATTTTCAGTCTCATCAACTTCATTTCTATATAGACTCCCCACAATTTTAAACTTTCTAACCAAATATGATTATATTCAGTGACATTTTGAGAGAAGAATTATTTATCCTAAGTGATATGCTAAGATATGAGCCATGAATGTATTTAGAGTAATAATGTTGATTCTGACAACTCTTCTGCATAGGTCTCCAAAGCTCAAGAATGTATTCATGAAAATATTATTTAGATATCTCCTGCTTTATAACTTAAAGAGAAGCCTTGAATAATCAGCGAATATGAATTATATTTAAAAATTAATGCTCTTATATTTATGTTTGTATTTTTTTCTGTTCCCAAGTCATTTCACTACTCCAGTAAGAATAAAAGAATACATTTAGAAAAGGAGACCGAATAGAAATGGAAGGAAAAATTTGATCTAGGGAGCTAGAGCTAAATAATGGAGCTAAAAGCCAACAATTGGTGAACTGGAGTTGGTGAATAGTGCAAATGAATTGACAATTGAAGTAGACATAGTTGAAGAACAAAGAAAATTAATGAGAGAGAGGACTTGCTAACTGAAATCATAAATGAGAAAGAGACGAAAGCCAGGAACTAGTGGCTCAAGTCTATAATCTTAGCTCCTCAGGAGACTGAAATCTGAGGATCATAGTTCAAAGCTAGCCTGGGCAGAAAAAGTCCATGAGACTTTTGTCTCCAATCAACTGGTAAAGATCCTGATGTGGAGATGTGGCTTAAGTGGTAGAGTGCCAGCCTTGAACAGAGAACAGAAAGTGGAGCATGAGGCCCTGAGTTCAAGCACTTACTACTAGCACCAATCAAACAAATAAACAAGGAAGGAGGGGGGAAGGAAGGAAGAAAGGAAGGAATCAAAACTTAAGACTTCAAGGGAAAAGCAAGATGCAAGCTATACTGTGATGTGTCGAGAATTATGCATATTAGCAATGACATTTTCTGGTGTGATACTTGAGAGTTGTCAGTTGACTAACAATCCTTCTGTAAATGATGCACAATCTGGAAAGATACAAGTATATGCCCACTTTTATGGAACTCCAAAAAGAATAGATACACGAGAGCTTATTTTCTAGTTCTATTATTTTGTCTATTTATAGCCTAGGAAATTCTTCAAAATTTATATGTCAGTTCCTTATGTGAGGCACTTCTAATTTCGTTTGCCTGTGCCAGAAGGAGGAAAGAGGAATAGGGAGAGCCTAAAGATGTCTAATTTTCTAAGTCACTTCAATAGGTAAGTAGGTAGGTACGTAGGTAGGTAGGTACATAGGTAGGTAGGTAGGTAGGTAGGTAGGTAGGTAGGTAGGTTGGTTTGTGGGTAGGTTAGATAGCTAGCACTAGAGCTATACACATACATGCATATACCTGGACATGATTAAAATTTACTTTTTAATATGGAAAAGGAACAAATAATGTTTTTGTAGATTCAAGAAGAAGCCTTGTCTTACCCAAAGACTATGCATAATTGAGTGACTTTGCCCCCTAGTTACTGGGAAATAGCAAATCATTCTCTGTCCATGTGTGTCAGAACCAGAACTATAGGAGACTGCAAGATTTGCTCCACAAAGCTCGGCTGGGGGAAATGCCTGTCACATAAGGACATGTCATAGAAATAATTTCACCACAGCCTTTCCCCCCTTTTTCTTTCCAAATATGCAGATTCCTTTTTCCTAATCATGCTGAGATGTTCTAGTAAAGCATCTCAATTGCTACTGATATGCGGGTTCTTCTGGAATCCCAAAGTGGAGTGACCCAGAAATGAGGGGCTGCAGTGGAAAATGACAGTGACCTAAAGGGAAGGGCACAGCGCAGGAGGTAGTGAAGTTCCCTGGCTCAGAACAATCCAGAGAAGTTGTTGCTTCAGTGGAATAACAAAACCATGAGTTCCCTAAATTCCCTTCCTGCCTGTCATTCTGCAATCCTAGCAATTTCACCTTGAAAAGTCATCATTGCTGTTTTTTAGTTACTCATTAATGATTATCATTTAGTTTTTTTTAATTCTCTATTGAATAGTTTGAAATTATTAGTCTTTTAATTACAAGAAAGAAACAGAGGGGAATTTAATAACTTTATTTTCCCGCCTTCAACATCTCATTTTACTTCCATTTTATACAGGTGATATTGTATTGCTTAAAGGATTGTGGCTTAATGAGTTTGTCTCCTGTCTTTCTCTAAGTTTGCCACGAAACAACATGATTATTGTTAACTCTCTCCTTCACCTCTGTCCAGATTTGGAAAGAAGAAAGATGAGAAGGGTGGAAAGGCTGAGCAAAAAGGTGCACTGAAATCTGGGACCCTGGGAGAAGGAGAGCTGGAGAAAATGAAAGAGGAACGAGACCGGTGAGCAGAAACGCTGAGCCCTTTCTTTGGTTTGAGTCTGTGATCTGTGTTTAATTTTGTTCTTGCAACAATCAGGAGAGACATGAAGAGGTACAGCAAATTGACTGGCATAAAAAAGAAAGCTATCTGATAGAATTCCCTCTGCCTTTATAGAGAAATTTCTATCTTATTCTAGAGAAGAAATTCACTTCATGTTTTTATTATTCTAATACCTATAATGTTATAATATGCCTCGCCAAGCTTTGAATCTGTCAATACACACTTCCCTGTGTTTAAACAATGAACTTCTAAAAAAAAAATTTCTTCCAAAGGTCATTAGGATATTGATATTTAGAACTCTCAAATTCCCATAATCTGTTCCTCATTTTGACAGGCTGCTGTATGCCTTTTTAATTTTATTTGGCGAAATCCATTTGGCTAGTGTAATTTGAGAAGTACATGTCCTTCATTTTTAAAAAGCCACGGTCTTTTATTAGGCTATCAGCAAGCTGAAAAGCATGTTGCCCATCTGTTAAAGGGCCGGCTTCATTTACTGAAATAATGACGGTTTGCAAGGGCTGAATTCTCCTATTTGAGGAGCATAATGTTCCATTTGGACAAGAGGTTCTTCACATATCTTTGATGTTAACTCTGGCACTTAGCCCAAGTGGATGTGTAAATGTCTGATTTTGAAACATGTAATTGAATATTCATATTTCTCCTGAAAATTCTTTGCCTTCTCAACTAAATAATGCTTGGACAAAGAATGAGATAATGATAAAAACTAGCATATAATTTTTAGCATTTCATTCAGGCTTCATTCTATAGGAGGTCAGATTTCTCCAACTTTTCTCTAACTTATTAGTTACATTCACCCTTGCAGCTTTTAAAGAGTCATGGGTTTTGTGTGTGTGTGTTGATTTTGTTTCTCTAGTATGCGATCTAAGAAAATCATATGTATCTATTGTATTTTCTAGCACACAGCAGTCTAAGAGTATCTACTGTTAACCTTTGACACCTATCCTGGAGTCTATTCCTGTTGAAAAAAGCTGACTTTATCAATCGTGAAGGAAAAAAAAAGCTGTTTAGTCCTTTCTCATTTTTGAGAGGTTGATGAGCTCTGTAAGGTTACCAGAGCAGTTAAAAAGAAATCAAGTGTTTTGCATTGTTGTTGACTATTCTGACAGAGCTATACCAACGGCAGGGAAGAGTTTCTCCCTGGTAGCCCAAGATTTAGTAATCCTATCATGTAAAATGTAATTCACCCTAAGATTCTAATGCATATATTGGCAAAGACATCTGGTAAGCCTGCATCATAGATCTTTGTTTCACCCCTAACTTGACTCTTTGAGACTCATGCCTCTTCTTCAGGAAACTAAGCCAGGCCAGAATGCAGACTCAACATTTTTTTTTTGCAGTACTTGCTTGAGATGAGGAGGAAAAGTCTCTTAATAGCTGGGAAAATGTGTGCCAGCTAGGAAATTGATAACCCACAAAATAAACTGGGTAGTCTTTAAGCAAGAGTCTATTTCCTCTCTGGTTTTGCCTCTAGGAAGCAGGTGCCTGAGGGAGTTTGGTTCTTAAAAGTAGGGTTGTAAATTCACCCCAGCTGAATATATAGGCATCAGGTCCAATTTTCTTAAAATATGTCTGGTCAAAATACTGAAAGAACTGTACTATTAGCCTCTGCCTAGGCCAATTCCCACACATGAACACATAAAACACATCTGATATAGGTTTCCTAGAGACAACATTGTCTCAATCCCATGCCATGGGAAGAAGTTGAAGGAGTTCATTTTATGATTGGCTGCCGTACAATTAATGACCGAGGAGTTTCAACAGCTCAGGAGCTGAGGGCCATGGAGGGTGGAGATGGAAGCTGAACATTTGGCATTGTTCCCAACCCTGCAGTACTATTCCTTGGCTCTCCAGCCAAGGAATTGGTTTCCTTAGGAAACCAACTCTGAGCTCCTGAGCAACTCAGCGAGTGTATCATTCTTCATGGTAAAGCTATGGCAAAAAAAAAAAAGGAACTAGTAATAAAAGCTATCATTATCCTCTGATTTCCTAATGCATTCAAAATGTGTTAACTTAATCTGATCCAACTTATCCTGTTGCTTACTTTTTCTATCCCAATTGTCATCAGTGCAGTAGTTTTCCATGAGCACATCTCCTTTTCAGACTAAAGTCCTTAAATTAAGTATTCATTCAATGTAGAACTCCTAGAAGTAACTTGTGCCAACTTACAAGAAGTAATTGTGAAACATTCCACATTTTTGTTATTATTGTTGTTGTACTGGGCTTTGAATGGCAAAGCCTTATGCCTATTATGCAGGCACTCCAGAATTTAAGCCATAGCCACCTCATTTTTGCTTTTACAAAGGGTCTTGTTTTTGGCCTAGGCCAGCCTGGACACAGAGCTGGAATGAGAGGCAAAGTACCACTATATCCAGAATTCTATTGGTTGAGATGGGTTCTTGAGATCTTTCTTTGCTCAGACTGGCCTCCACATGTGATCCTCCCAGTCACCACCACCTGAATAGCTAAGATTACAGGCATGAGCCCATGCATCTGGTAACCTCCAGGAAAATTTTAAGCTCGTTCTTAAACCATTGTTACCTTGAAATGGGCCATGGTAGGAATATTTATAACATAGAAATGGACATTGTAATATACTGGGATTTTGTTTCCAAAGATCCAGTTTGCCAACATACTGCTTTGGTTTGCTACTAATTCTTCTAGTGCATAACCAAGAGGAAAAATAGAGGCAGAAAAATATTCAAACTCTATGACTTCTTGTATCAGTGTTTCTCAGAGTGCAGTCTGTGGGCCATCTGTGTCAGAATGAGTCCCTAGAGAAGCCTGTTAAAAATGGAGATTCCTGAGCCCCATTCCATACTTACAGAATCAGTATCTTGGGAGGCGGAGCTCAGGACTCTGTGTTTAACAAGTTAACTCAAGGTGAATCTTTAACATTCGAAAGTCTATAAACCACTGGTTTGGAGGGACAGGATGTGGCTAGAATATTAAGCTGTTCTTATTTTATGATGCATAGATCTTTTTTTTTCCTAAAAGAGTCTGGGTTTACAGATATTGTTGTCTTTCTTCGTGTGCCCTCTCTGCAGGCATGTTTTCTATATACAAATGAGAACCCCTAGCCGGTGCTGTGTCACCTAATCAAACATGAGTCACGTTCTTCGGAACCTACCTCCTGCACAACTCAACTGATAAATGCCTATACATTCATTGGGGAAATTCTGGAAACACACACAAGAATATTGAGACTATTAAAACCATAAACAATTCTAGCATAATCACATAACCACTATTAATATTTTCATCTCTTTTATTTGCACACACACATACATATATATGTTTTGAAATTTTGATATTCACCCTGCATATGTAATGTTTTGCTCCTTCACAGCATTATAGTTCAATTCCCCTATGCCATCAATGTTTTAAAATTATTCTGTTTTGATCATTGCCTAATATTGCTTCCTTTGTCAAACAAATAACTTTGTCTACATTTTTCATTATTCCAAATAATACCTTCATAAGTATTGAAGTGCTAAAACCTTTGTAGATTGCCTCTTAAGTCATATAATTCTTATTGCAAGCTCAATTTTTTATGCTTTTTTTTAACCCTCAAGTTAATCTAACCTAGATGACTCTTGTTTCAAGATTATATCAATCCCTTTCCATTTATCCCATTATTTTATATGATTATCCTATCTTTGAAAATGTTTTTAATTCCTGATGTGAAACAGTTTGGTACAATATGTGAATAGTTTATTCATAGCTATACCTAAGATAAGATCAAGAAAAGCCATAACAAGTGGGTAGGGTAGCTAGATAAAACTGGCTGAAACAGAGTCTAGAATCATGACTCTCATTGGGAGTAAGTAGTTTTGCTCTCCCAAACATTTGGTAAGGTCTCAAGACATTTTTGCTTGTTATAACTGCTGAGTGGCATCTGGCAGGAAGCCTCTACTCCCTTATACTATGTAAAGACCCCAAACATCCTATAGTACCCAAGACACACAACTACTCAGAATTATCCAATCCAAAACTGTGTCAATAGAGTGAAGACTTCAGAACTCCAGTTCTAACCACAGACTTCACAAAGTAATAGAGAAATCATCTGGACACCAAAATTGTATCACTTTAGGACATCCTGTAGACAATGTAGAGGAATATGTAATATGAAAGATGGTTTAACAAGAGAATGATTCTTAGCTCTTTGAGAAGGTCTACCCAAAACTCCCATTAATATAAGCTTACAAGAATAATGTTCTGGAAAATTTATTTTTACCCTTGGCCTGCTGAGCATTGACATTAGTGCTGGTGACCTGCTGATGAGATCATGGATGCCAAGAAATTTCAAGTGTGGATAATATATGTGATGATAGAAGCATCTGGAACAATGGAACAAATCAAACATTAAAAAAATTAATACGAATAAATGTAAAGTCTTAGTCTTAGGTCCAAAAATGAGCTGTATAAACACAGGATGTGGAAGGTTTGACTTAATACCAAATATATGAAAATTTTGCCTGATGGTTTTAGTTGAGGGTAAGTTTAGCATGAGTCAACATGAGCGTATGTCTGCCAAAAACTTAATCCGGTCCTAGACTCTATTACTGGAAGTTCATGTACAAAATGAAGAAACAATGACCTCTCTTTCATATTGCTCAGATCACACCTGGAATGGCCTCTCCTCTCTCTCACATGGAGAATAGGGGCACTAAATCCATGTCTTATGTAACACATTGAAGGCCCTGGTGGTACACTGCCAAGACTTAGTTGATTTCACATGCTTGCAGTACTGTCCCAGTGAGGGATTCGATTTATTTCACTGTGTTCTTCCTTTCCAATTCTACTTTACTTATTAGTATATTTCTCAGCTTGTTTATCCACCCATTCACTCACTTAGTACTTGAAGATACTAGTGGAACATTCTTTTAAGAGAGGCAGCCTTCAGATTAATAGAAGAGAAAACATCCTAAAAATTAGCATGC